TATATCAAATAAATATGTACTTTCAATTTAGATGATTTGATGCATATACATATATATATATATATATATGAACAGAAATGAAAGAAGCATTTATTCATATAAGAAGCAAAGAAGGAAGAATTGTAGCGTTAGAAATTTATTGTAGCAATTAGTGAAGATCTTAGTGCCTCCCTGTTGTATTTACTAATGCCAAGCATTTTTATTTTTGGCCATAAATTAACTTGTCACAACCAACACGTTATTAAGTTGCTGCTAGTAATACACAGTTTCTGCTAACGCAACAAGGCCAAAATTTATGTCCATTTATTTCTTGTATTCAATATTAAATTATATATATATATATATTCATATATTATGTGCATACAAATATACTTTTAAATTAAACGTATTGATATTTTTAATTTTTAAGTTTCAAAAATTTAGCTGGAGGGCAACATAAATCAACAGTTATAAAAGTTGGTGAATTCACATTAATTTCATAAAGAAAATATATATATATATATATATGTAACGACCCCAGAAATTTTAAAATGAAATGTATATTAAAAATATTAAATGTGGAAGCGAAGTCAAAAATTCGATTAACATCCCTTACACTAAAACCAAAAACATGTTTACAAAATATAAAAGATCAAACTACCTAAAGGAGAAACTTGAAAGTAAAAGCTAAGAATATGACTATGGAGTCTTTAGGCGTCTCCTTCGTCGTCCTCCTGAGGAACCGGCTCGGGAACAATGTCTTCTTGATCTGAAATGATTAAATAAGGAATGAGCTACACTAGCCCAGTAAAGACATCACGATATCTCACAATCACGGAGGTAAAGATGGGTAGAAAACACAAAAAGACCAATGGAGCATAATTTACAACAAATTCTTTTATCAATAATAAATCCTTCACCATCCACTTAGCTCGGTGAAATTCATAAAACAGTGTACGAAAGCAATAACATTATCATCATCATGAAATCATATACGAACTGTATAACATAATACTTATCAAGCCTTTTGTAATTCAATCGTTACACAACATATTTTCCTCATTTACCAGCCCACTAGTATCCATGGGGATCCATAGGGGTCCCGCTACCCGTTAACCCTTAACACTTGAAATCAGATTCCAAGGCCGTCCCCATACCCCGTCCGGTATGGGCGCCAAAACTATAAACCTCATTATCCCGTCCGGTATGAGGGTGAAACGGGCCGTCCCCATACCCCATCCGGTATGGACGCCAAAACACATAAGATCTTCATACCCCGTCCGGTATGGGAGACCACAATCCCGGTAGGGTTCCCTACGGACCCGGTCCGTCCACCATCTCCCAGGATATCTAGTCAGGCTGACCACATTATACAATTACCCATTTACATAATTTTTCATTCTCTTTTTCCTCAGTCAGCATCATTAATCCACATACAAACAAACAAAACAGTAATTTATGCCAAACAGGCAACATACAGCATCAATATCCCAGTCATTCAATCCATAATCAATAAAACAGTACAATATGCACACGAAACTATAAAATGGAAACATCAAACCTCATACTGCATTTAAAACTGTAAAACAGGCCAACTGACAGTTAACCGACAAACACACTAGACTCGGGCTCCATTAGCGACCTTAAGCAATTTCACACATTCGTTGATTCATGAAATACCGTTTTATCATTTATTGAACTTTAAAACCGTGATAGGAAATAGAGTGAGGGGTCTTTACTCGTTTCGGGGTCTGAATACGGCTTCACAGTGCGCCTACAGGCTGTCCCTAATTTTTCCTGAATTTTTTCTGGGGAACTGAAACGCACTACTGGTACCTGCACGTGTTCCAAAAAATCCCAAATTAGGCCCAGGGCCCCTTTTTGGCCAATATC